CGAATCAAATGTAGAGTCACTTTATGAAATTTTCTATAATAAATAAGATTTTTGAAAATATGAAGATTAAAAGTGAAATATTTGAAATTACATATGGCTGTCATTTTATAGAATGGTTGGTATGAACACGAGTAATATCGGCAAACATTGTCTTGTCTCGTGTTTACATGTCTATAATTTTTGTGGGGTTCTTTCATTGTTGATTTCAATGTTATATTAATGATTGAAGGTTAAGAAGTTCGATCGTTAGGCTTAAGTAATGTTAAGGGTATTCATATGATCCAATAACCTGACCACCTCAAAATAAGTAACCCATGTTAAACGTAGAATAGATCTCTGTATATAGTAAGATAATTTAATGATTTACTTGTTTGTTACCAAATCTATAATTTAGAATGCAATCTTCATCATACACATATATAAATACATGAGGTCGTGACCCATATAGATCACAGTGCCATTCAACCTAACAATTCGAACATGGGTTGGGTTAGATTTTTTTCGGTTTGGGTTCGGTTGAATTTAAAAAAAACTCAAAAAATTGATTAGATTTATGGTTTTTTTTTTTTTTTTTTTTTCAACCCAATCTATCCTCTATTTAAAAAGACGAGAATAACTTAGGTTAAATATCTCAAAAGACGGGTAACTCATGTTCGTAATTTGTTTTGACTTTAAATATTGATGTTTGAATTTTATAGAATTTTTAGTTATTAATATAATATGTTCTATGAATACTTAAATCCAACCTAAAAATAGGAGATCGGTGGCAATAATCCAAAATTTCAAATTCATATATATTATTTGTAATTTTTTTATTTTGTTATTATATATTTTTAATGTTAATTTTGACTTGCACTTTGATGGCAGGCGAACTTAGCAACAAGTTAGTTAAGCCAATTCGTTCTTGTGTCGTCTACAGACGTATGCTCGAGCCTTTAGGTTCAGTTCAAAAGAAAGTTTTAGAAAACGGAGGAGAGAGATTTTGAAATCAAGATTTGAGAAATTAAAATCGGTGTTATATGAAAATGTAAGCAAAAGAGGACAACAACAACGGCTTACTATATATAACTATCGGCTGCCCCTCTATTAGGGACGGGTGGAGAGAGAGAGAAAAAAAAAGAAAAAAAAAGAAAAAAAAGACTGGGCCTATTTAGAACAAGTCCAAACAATATATAAGCCCAGCCCAATCAAACCAGAATTTATACACCATTAATATTTAATAAAAATAATTGAAATTGGTATATTTTGATGGATGAACTTGAAAAAAAGAAATAGTTAAATAATTAGATAAAAAAATATGAAGATAAAAAATGAATATTTAAAAGAAAGAAAATATTTTTACAAAACTATTCTACAGAATTTAACAAAACGCAATAACAAAATTGCTTCAAACAACTTCAACTGCTTTACGATGCAGGCCAGGCAAATTCTCCCGCAGATCAAATGTCAGCATTGACGCCTTCGATTTCACCGGCCGCTCGGATAAATTCACCGGCAGAGGCGGAGCCACCGCCACTGCCGCCCTCTCCCTCCGTCCCTGCCACTTCAATTGCACGTATTTCTGCTTCCTCCATGGCGCCAAATGCATCTTCTTCTCTGTTGTGCACCTCTTCGCCGCCGCGCACAGGATCTTAATCAGAGACCATAATCTCTCCGATTTCCCCACAAACACTTCCGGTAATCGCCTGATAAATTTGTTGTATTCTTCGCTCGCTCTCGCCATCTCGAACTCTGACCTAAAATTGAGTTCGATCACCACACGAATTTCCCCTCTTCTTGAACTCGAATTCTCCAATACTTCTAAATACGAATGTTCGCCTGGAAAATTAGGGTTTCTTCGTAAACGATTTCGTTTTTGGTTCATTAATCAGATCAATTGTCGATGTGTTTACCTGACGGAACGTCCGATGAACTTCTCCATTTCGATTTGCACATCGCACAATTGAAACCGGCGATTCGTAGCCGATTGCAGATCTCTCTCTGCCAGCAACTCCGGCAGCCTCCCGCCGCGGAAGTACCGCACTCGCATATCGTCGATTCTATGTTCGTTTTCCTAACAATTTCCACCGTCTCTCGGCGGATTCTCGATTCGATCGAACTCGTCCGTCGTAACGTCGCCTGAAAAATCAAAATCAACGATCAATTTACAGAAATCACTCACCGCCATCAACTCTGTATCCCTCATTTCCTCTGTTTATGATCAAATTACACAAGATCCAAATCGATGAGTACCTTGAGAATTTCATCCTGCGACTTCCAAAACTCCTTCCTCTCTTTCACATCGAAGGAATTTTCATCCTCCTCGTCGTCGAAGTGACCATTCCCGTGGTCGGAGTTGCAGGAATTTCCCGACGACGTCTCTCCAACCTCCAAATACCTAAAAAAGACGTCGGAAAAACTCGCAGTTGCGCACGTGAAGTCGACATTCTCACCGGAAGTTCGCACAGTTACTGGAATTCTCACCATCGCTCCAGGCAGAGGCGGACGAAGAAGCTAGATTTAAGTGTTCTGAAATCGGAATGAGAAGTCCGGGAGGAAAATTGCAGTGCATTTATAGTAGGAAATTCGGGTGGGATCCACCATCATAGCTGGATGAACGAGCCGCCGCGTGAAAGAAAGAAAACGCTGGGTCCACTTCATTGTGGATTAGACAGCTAATTCCACGTCAGCTCAACTAATCCTTCTTCTCCTATATTATTACAAAATAGTTCCGATAATTCTTGAATATTCTATTTTTTTTTTAAGGGAAATTTGTAGATTGAATTTGCTAACCATTACCCAAAAAAAAAAAAAAAAAAACACTTAATCTTAGAAACTCTAAAATTGATAGTGTTTTAACTTGAAGTAATGTTATCTTCACTCTTTACTATGTTAGATGTCCACACGGTAGGGTAGGGCAGACACGTAGAAGCCCTCCCATCCTCGTCCCCATTCTTCACTCTTCACTATGTTACATGTCCACTGGGTAGGGTAGACACTCTTCACTATGTTAGATGTCCGCAGGGTGGGGTAGGACAGGCATGGAGAAGCCTTCCTGTCCTCATCCTCGTGAAATCTGAATTCCACATTTATTTTTGTGGGGATCGAGTAATTTTTCATGGTTCATTATTGTTTTTATTTTTATTTTTATTTTCAATACAGAGAATTGGGCGGGGACTGAAAATATAATTCCATCCGTATTGAAATCTTATACATCCCTGAAATCTCCTCTATGAAGGATTATAGTTACAAATGGTATGTTCGAGATCAAGAATTCCCACTATTTCTTAGATATGGGCTTTTCGAGAAGACCTCACACCAATAGAGAGAATATTCCTTCGTTATAAATTCACGATCATTCTCCAAGAAAGAAAATATTCGATCTAATATTCTTTGATTATAAAATTACGGCGGAACGAATTTGGATTTTCATCCAACAGCACCTGCACTTTTTTTTTGTTTTGTTCCATTTTTTTTTTGTCGTTTTCCTATCCAATACCAAAACTTATCTCGTTTTAGTAAATTCCATAAAAAATAATTGGGAACTGGAAACTGCTAGGAAAAGTGTTGTCTGAATCACAAGTGAAACGTGGCGACACTCAGCAATCCCCAGCATTTGGTTGCGACAGCTGACAGTATAGGCGACACGTGGACTTATCCACAAACGTTAATGTGTGTGGAAAAGTAGAACCATAATTTCCTATTATTTATGAGATAGAAGATTAATGTTTACAAAAAAAAAAAAAAAAATTATACGTGTCAATCTTTTAGTGGTAAATATAAAAATTGTCATTTTTTTATTCATATATATTGATTTTATTTAAAAGAGATATATATTTTTTGATCCATATTATTTAAATTTAATTTAGAATTTATTTTGATCTAATTGTGTTAAAGTTGAGGGTCAAAGTTGTCAATTCCAAGACCATACTATTATTTTTCGAACTATTAGCAACATAATTTGCTTTTTTAATACAAAAATATTTTCCATCTTATTTATTTATTTTTCAGTAAGCTGACGTGGCACATATTCTTTGGTCGTCATCGAATCTTCGGCCTGATTGGGGAACCGCTACAAGACAAATGTACCCCAACATATTATCCAATAAATTGAAATTTGTAGGAATTAATTTATATTTAAGGAAACATGTTTCATTCATTTTTAAAAATTGATATGGATTTTTCGGACCAAAAATAAAAATAATCATATAACTTTAATAAATATATATATATATATATATATATTTGCAATCATGTTTTAAAATAATAAAAATTAGTTCAAAACCGGCGGAAAGCCCATTGGAAAAGACTACCCATGGAGTGATTGAATAATTCATATTATAATAATAATAATAATAATAATAATAATAATAATGTTTTTTTATTAGGAATAATATCATAAGAAATTAAATATAAAAAATCTTCATTAATTCTAAAAATTAATGTTAAATAATTATTTTAAAATAAAGTTTTATACCTTATAATATAATTATAATAGAGATAATGATAAGGCCCCAAGCTATTTAAAAAAGAAAATGAAAAATCTTATCCATTTTTACCTCGAGATTCTGGAAGGGGCGTAATCATAATTAGCTTTTTTTTAATTAATCAAATTGTTATGGTTCACCCACCCTAGGTTGAGTTAGGGGCTAACTATGGTTTAGTTATTTAAATGAGGAATCTTAATAAATGATTTTTTTAGAAAAAGAGAGAAAAAAAAGTAAGGATTATCTTGAAAATATCTCCCAAAGAAGACTTTTTAGCTTGATTGTCGAGGTCATTCATAAAGCCCAACTTGCTCGATCACTTTTCCATGTAGATTCAAAATATCTCAATGTTAAATTCATCGGGACATATTATTAGAAGAGTGTTGATATTTATAAATCCTGCGAGTTTCTATTAAGAATCATGAAAGGATTTTTCCCGAGCTTGCATAGGGTTAATTTCTCAGAAAAGCACTTGTCGATTATGGAGGATCGGTAACTTTTCAAGCTACGCTTATTGGATTGTATCAGTCACGATGGTCTAACGTTGTCCAATCATTCATATCATGTATTCAAAAGAAACATTAGAAGAGAAGACATGCCTCCAAAGCTCCTTAGACAACGTACACTTTCATTAAGGTTTATGTGTGTTGGGAATCGGGATATATCATTGAAGTACTTCTAGTTGTAAAGTTGACTTGTGAAGGCAACCTCACGTTATCTTCATCTCAAATATCGCTTCGTTTAGGGGGCAGGGAACAGTATGATGTCGTTGAACAACTTGAACGTGCGTGCTATTCCCCTCTCTCGATATTGAAGGATCATCTCAAATTTGAACATTATGCATCATCTCAAAAGCTTTATGGCAACCAAGCAAATGAAAGATTATATCCAATTGAAGCATGAAGGATGGCAAAGGAGCCTCCAACTCTGGGCGAGTGTAGAGAATTTGTATGTGCAATATCATGTGTTGGTGCCAATTTCATATTGGCAAGATGTGATGCTCGAGCTCGACTCCGACTAAGTTGGGATATGGTGCTTGACCACGTCCACTTCGAAGCTTAAGTTAGTATAAAGTTTGAGATGGAGATGAGGTAAACAAAGAGTAAGACGTACCAGATATCAGTATCCCATCATGCTCAGGGGTCCGGCCGAAAAACCACTGGTCCATTGTCCCCACCTCTGAGCAAATCGTCTTGAAAGGATAGGTAAGAGAAACATCAACGTTCCCTAGTCCCCAACTTGACATATCCGAGCTAAACGTTGTCGAGGAAAGAAGGAAGCAATCGAGAGGAGACCAACCTATAGTATGTCGGAGTTCGAAAACCACATGCAAATGGGTTTGAATATACAACATGTCAAAGGCTAGATACTAGTAAGGTTAACGCCAATTCTCACAGAAGTATTTTCCTCCATATCGAGCCTCTAATTCAAATCTTTCACACTAAGTACTTCTTTTACAAAAATGAATCAAAATAAATGAGTAGCTATGATCACATCATCTAAACATAGTATAAACACTGAATTTACATAATGAAGTCTAAGACTGAATCCGTCGTCCCTGTATTAAAACAATCAAAGTTCAGCTAACGACCACTCTTTAAAACGTCTGATTCAACGAAGGATGTTGAAGAAGAAGATGTTTTGATTTGTTCAAACGTTCGATGATTTGAGTTATCTCCGTTTATCTCACCCAAGATGTTCATAACTTGTTGCATTGTTGGCCTTGCACCAGCCTCAGGATGTGCACATAATAATCCCAAACAAACCATTCTCTCCATTTCATCAATCTCTTCTCCAACCTCTTCAACTTTCAATCTCTCATCAACAGCCACTACAACCTCATTCCTCTCCATTACTCCTCTCATCCAATCTACCAACAATGGCTTCCCTTCTTCCATTGCTCTCCGCCCACAAACCACCTCCAAAACCAACACCCCGAACCCGAAAACGTCGCCTTGCATCGATACTCGCCCTGTTCGAACCACCTCTGGCGCCAGGTACCCAACAGTTCCCACCACTTGCTTTTTGTCTACCATTCTCTTGTTGGGTTGCATTCGAGCCAACCCGAAGTCTCCTAACCTTGCATTCATGTCCTTGTCGAGTAGCACGTTGTTTGCTTTAACGTCACTATGTATAACCTTGTAATCCCAACCTTGATGCAGATATAGCAGCCCCGTCGCTACATCGCTCAAAACCTTCATCCTTTTCTCCCAACTCAGCGTCGTATTCTCATCACACTCAAACAACTTCTTGTCTAAACTTCCATTTTCCATGAATTCATACACTAAGATCAAGCTTCCATTCTCTTTCTTGCACCATCCTATAAGTTTTACTAAATTTCTATGTTTTAATCGTCTGAGACTCGAAATCTCAGCCATAAACTCCCTCATTCCACACTCAGTTTCAACAGAGATTTTCTTCACAGCAACCTTTGATCTCCCTAATTCCCCTTTATAGACCATTCCATTACGCCCAAAGCCAACAACATTGGCCTCTGAGAACCCATCAGTTGCTGCATAAACATCATCATAAGCAAACCGATGAGGCCAATATTCCAACTCCCAATCTTCAATATCATCATCCATTGGTTTCTTTCTTCCCCTTCTTTTGATAATTACAAGAACATAGACCACAATACAACAGATGATCACAAGCCCAGAACCACCCACAATTATCCCCACAATGAAAGCTATTGAGTTAAAAATAGAGTCATTATGAGGAGCAAATGATGGAAAATTCGTTCTTACTAAAGCATCACCAATTGACAAATTAGAGGTACTAAAACTCCATGATAATATCTTATGGCTTTGAACTAATTGCCCTGTGGAGGCTGTAAATCCTACAAACATCTCATCCAAAAGCAATTCAGAGAAATCCACAGACAGAGATATCAATGGTTTTCTAGGCTTTCTCATTCCCAATTCAGCCATTGTAATATTAACCAAAGAGTTTAAGCATTCAATCCAAACCTGATAAATTTCTCCATTGTTGATCCTCAACTCCTTGAATTCTCCATGTTCATTCCAAAACCCTGCTGTAGATGAGGCAGTAGACTCAAGAGAATTCAAATCTACACCCACATGGTTATCATTCGAGTCGTTGAACTCTTGATTTTGGAAGGAATCGAACTCAACAGCGAAGACATGGTTATTAGGGTTACCATTAGTGGTGAAATTGAAAAGCCCCAAATTCTGAGCCGAGCTCGTGCCATTGATTCCAGTAGAAGGTGTGAAGAGAAAGGCGAATCCATGGCCGGGGAGGTGATTTGGCTGTGGAGTGACGGAGAAGATGAAGGAAGTTGCAAAGGAAAAAGAAGAATCGGAGAAACGGACCGGGATTTTGGAAGGGTATAGAGCACGGCCGATGGTGAAAGTTGAATCCCTTGTGAGAATAAGAACAGATGAATCAACGGTAGCGTTGCCGAAGAGCAGAGTATTAGTGGAAGTGAAATTCGTGTTGAAGATGAACTCTGTAGCGGAGACTGACATGGACATGGAGATTAGAATCGAAATTACGGCGCAGAACAGAGTGATTGAAGAAGAAGACATGATTCCTTCAAGAAAAGAACGGTTTGGAACGCAAATGAGAGAGATTGAGAGACAGAGTTGAAGCAAAAGGACGAACGGCGATCGAGTCAACGAAAGCAGCCATGGGACGAGATTGTCAAAACAGCCATGAAGCGGATTGGTGGAACCAGGATTTTGGGTCATCGTTCTAAGTAAGAAAGTCTATAGAGAGAGAAACACAAGGTCAAACAGATACCGCTGGTTCGCCTATTAGTGAGAGGTTTTCAAGTTCATATCAGAAATGTATTGTTCTTCCTCTAACCAATGCGGTATCTCACTATACATTTACTTTGAAAGCTAACATTTTTATGGCACACAGTTCAATATATGATTTTGATACCATTAATAACCGTCCAAGCCCAGAGTCAATGTCTTCGTAGCAACTCGACTTGACATTTTTTATTAAGAGTTTTTTAAGAAAATTGACGTGGGCTTATAAAACCTATAAGTAAGAGACTAAAACGATTTTATTTTAATGTCACAATAGCATCAGTGATACCGTTATATAAAATGACAAAAAACGAATCGAGTGCGAAACCACTCTTAACATCCAAGTTGCCTTGGTGGGTAGGAGTTTTCTAAAAGCTCATACCTTTTTTCTCAAGTGGTTTTGATTTGTTTTTTTTTTTTCCCTTATTTTTTATTTTTATTATTCCTCTTATCTATTTTTTATTATTTTTTCAATTTCTTTTCCAATTTTTATTTTTATTTTTGTTTTTTTCTCTCTTTAATATGATTCTCCATTTTTATATTTGTTTTCTTTTCTTCAATTAGTTCGCGTTTTTTAATTCATTATTTTATTTTATTTTTATAAAAAATATTTTTATCTATAATAAATAAAAAATAAATATATTATATTTTCGTTTATGAAGAAGAGTAGGTTTATTTACACGAGAGAATTTTGAATTTGACGTTAAAAAATAAAAATAAAATTTGAAGAATCGAACTAATGGAGATTAAACCAAAACTATAAAATTAATACGGCCATGTCTATTCATATAATCACGATGTTCTATCATTCCCAAGTTTTAGTTAAACTCATCATCTATTTCTCTTTCCATTAAAAAGCTTACAATGATCGAACAAATATTCCCTTTAATGAATAGCACCCACAATTCTTTTAAGATTCTTTTCTTGTTCTTATTAATGATTTTTTTTACAGGAATATTACTCAACAAAATTTGGGTAGATTCTTTAGTTGACACTTCGACCAATTTAAAAATAGGGTTACAATCCAATTCAACTCAATCTTAAACCTTACTTTTAAAGAATTAGCAAAAGCTGAAGGGATAGCCCAACCCAAACTGTCATTAAGAGGACGGGGGCAGTCCTTTGGTTTACTAGGTTCATACGGTTCATTCATCCATTTGTTGGCGCGTGTTCAACACGTTCGACTAGAAACCCTTTGGATTGGTCCACAGAGTGAGTCCATTGGGAAGTTTGGCACACAGGTGAGGAGGTGAGCGTGAAGTTTTTGAGCTTCTTTTGCTTCTTTGTTTAACCTTCACCACTGGGCGTGCTGCTTTCTTAACGCCGAAAGAGGAAGGGAAAGGGAAACTCTCCATCAAAGGAGAAAGCTCTGAAAATCACAGAAGATTAACAGATTTGGAAATCGGGAATGGCAGACAATAAGGAAGAAGACCCAGAAACAATCGCTCCTCAATGGTACTCTTTGATTATGAGAGTGATGAGCAAAAGAAGAACATGGGTATGTCTTTTTGTTCTGGTTTATGCCCTTCTTTTGTCTTCTTCCTGGAATTTCCTTGCTTCTATACTCTCTTGGTACAAATCCCAAGTGGAAGTTTCTTCTTCTTCTTCCTCTTCTTCATTTGGGTGGCCTGCGATTTATGCTTCTCTGCTTCTTGGGGCAGTTTTTGGGGTTCTTTCCATGGTGGCTGCACTAGCTGTCATGGTTCCGGCCACCCTTGTCACTTGGATCACCATTGTTGTGCTGCTTTACTTCTTTGGGAAGCCTAAGAGGGCGTTGGTGGTGGAGGGGAGGAAGATTACTAAGGAGATTTTTGGGGTTGTGGCTAAGATTTTGTTGAAGGAAGGGAATTTGGTGGCTGCTGTTTGTGCTGTTTTGGGGTACTTTGCTTTGTTTAGGAAGAGTAATGAGAGTTAGAGGCTGATTTTGGTGGGATTGAGGGAGGATTTGGGGGTTTTGATCAAATGGGTATCTCAGATTTGTGGTGATTTTGGTGTTTTTTGTTCATACTTGTAGGTGAAGCATGCCTGGTTTTAATGGTTTAGATCTTCCTTGTAACTTTAGGGTTTATGGGTTCATATGGATCATTGCTTTCTCTCCAGAAATGCTTCATAAACTTGGGATTTACAGATCTCTTTTCTTTGCTAATGGATGGAATACAGGGAGTTTATACTGATTCATGTAATGAAATGGTCGATTTTAGAACAAGGGTTGTCTGGGATTTGTTCATAATGATATCACTGAACTGTTTGATTCAAAGATATGATGGATCTGTTGTCATGGAGCAAACTTGGCTTGAAGAACAAGATAAGAACAGTTCTTTCTTTGTTTTGAAAAGAAGTAAAGGTAAACCCAGAAAGGAAAATGATCTTCATTTAACTGTTTTAGAAGAACATGAACTTGTTTATCTGTCTTAGAACAGTTTTCTTCTTTGTTTTTGTAAAGAAATTCATCTCAGAAAGGCTTACAAAAATAGCTTGCTGAAATACCATTGCGGCATTCTATCGAACACCTTGTATGCAGAAAGTTGAGTTCTTCACAAAGGGTTCTTTCTCAATGTTCATCCCCAAAAGTTCTGATAATTTGTGTTTGTATTGGTGTTCTTCCTTCATCTTAGATTGAATGATTAAGATCGACCTTAAAAATGGCAGAATTCACATTCCGTTTTCATGTTTTCAGTCAGAAACCAACATTACAAGATCATGGCCCAGTTTTGAAGAACAAAAACTGAAAAAGATAAGCATTAGAAACTAATAGTCTACTTTATACTCAGATTCCTAAGTCAATTTGATCTACGCTTATTAGCTAATCTGGGAGAAGTTCTAGTGGCAGAAATTGAATCATTTTCCAGTTTTTTTCCACTACTCTTCCCCTTTGTACTTTCATCGTTAATCTCCTCGACAATCTTCATTACAGATTCATCGATCCCATTGACTTCCAAATTTCGATCCCTCGAACCTTTCAACTGGTTCTTCTTCCCCTCCACAGCGACTCGATCGAAATCATCTCCCAGCTTCTTCACCAATCTCCTCTTCACAACCCTAATTTCTTCCTTGTGCTCACCAACATCATCATCCTCAGCATCAAACAATGGCATCAATCGCCGTCTCTTCGTTGCAATTGGCACTGGCGGTGGTGATACTGATTTCAGCTTCTTCGACCGGCGAACGGCATCGTCTCTGACATCTGAGTCAGATCTCTCTTGCGTCTCTACTTTCTTCTTCTTAGCAATCTTCTCACGCTCAGTTCGAAGCTTGTTGACATTGCCTTCGATTCGACCCTGAAGTCTCAGGCGATTGAAGCTGAGACCACCCATTGACCAGTGAGCCTCGTTCGCCCATGAGAGAAACGGATCGAGGACCGGCGTGGGTGGATCTACACGCTCGTCGTTGAACTTGACGTCGGTGTAGTAGCGGGGACGGGGGAGACTGCTGCCGTAGAACTTGCCGGGTCCGAGAGGAACAACCATGGCGGAGAATTGAATGAACAATCAAGAGGAAAATAAGGGTAATTACGAGGAATTGTAGAGAAAATCGTGTTGAGATTGGATGAAAATTGCAGAGATGTCTTAGGGTTCATATAAAGAGAAAGGGAAATGGCGGGAAGAGCTGATTTTGGCGCTAAGGTTGTGGCGCCAGTTTTTGGAATGCCTTTGGTTTGCTTTCGGCAACTTATTCACTGATTCAATGATTCAACAAAATATTTTATTCAACAATAATATAAATTGGCATTTTTTTTAAGCCTTTGACTTGGGGTTTGTCGTAATAATTTTATTGTTGAATTATATAATTAAATAAATATTGAGGTTATTGAATTATTGTTAGATTAGGCATTTTTTAATAATTTATTTCAAGACGATTGAATTTGATAATTTATTTCAATATATTAACCCTCTAAATTCTCAACCCTAAACCCTAAATCTATTTTAAAGTGACTATATCGTGGTAGCCGCATTAAATAATTTGTTCATGATTTTGTTCTTTAGAATTCTACTATAAACAGTAACGAATCAAGCCCACCTAGCAGATATTATTCTATCTCAATTTTCCTTTCTTGACTTCTTAGAGAGAGATTTCAAATATTACAAGGAATGATTAGTTCTCCTCTCCAACCAAGGTGCAATTTCACAATCCACCTTTGAGAGCCCAACATTCTTATTTGCACACTGCCCGATGTCTAGTTCTGATACTTTTATAATAGCTCATGCCCACTACTAACATATATTACCGGTTTTGGCCAAAGCAAACAATATTTTATTAGCAGTGGACTTGGGGCATTACAAATGGTATAAGAGCCAATCACCAATAGGTTGTAGGAAAGAATGAAATGTACCTTATAAGGATGTGGAAACCTTTCCCTAACAAACACATTTTAAAAAACCACAAGACACTTGAAGGAAAACCATGAGTTTGAGCTGTTACGGTAATTAAACAAGCAGATGTCCAATCTTAGAGCATCTTAAAAGAGAAACAACATAAATACACAAAAGAAACTAATTGCTCAAATCATATTGCAGAAGTCCAAGTTGAATTATCTTAAAAATGTGTTCATATAATGGACAAAATGGACAACCACGAACCAAGCTGCTCGATGGAATAATTACGCATTTCAAGTCGCATTATTTAAAAGATTGGACAACAAAGTCCACTTCTTGATGGAAAACAAATGAGATACAAAATACAACACTAATCACATTCACATTCTTACTGTTACGTTTAAAAGACATCCAATAACACACTAAATTACACTAATCGGAATCCTTTCCATCCAATTCTGCACTCAACATATGATGGAGAAGAATGTCAACTTTGCGGCTCCTAGTTTTTGTGCTGAAACAAACAAACCACAAAAATTTGTCATGTCAACTTTTCAAGACAACCGGAGAGGATAGATGCATAATTCATATTAAAGCTATTAATTTACGTACCCGACGAAACGTCGACGATC